TCCACCCGCCGCCGCTCCCCCAGCGCCGTCCGCCCTGCCAGGTCCCTTGTCCCCCTTCCTCTGCCCAGCTCCATCTCCCCCAGCCCCATCCCGCTTCCTCCTCCCAGGGGATGGAGCACCCAAGGCCAGGCTCCGCTCCCGGGGGCAGAGCCAGCAGCCCCCCCGCTACGGAAGGGACCACGCTGGACTCGGAGGGCAGCTGAGCTTTCCCCGGGCAGACGCTTGTCAGCGCGTTAGGAGCTGCACAGCTCCTCCCCGGGAAGTTTAGGAACCAAGAGCACTAAAACCGCCTTCGTCCCAGGTAGGATTATTTAATCCGGCAATAAGGGCTAATGCTGAGGAGCTCTGGGCACAGGCGGTGGGTACAGCAGGGCGACCGACGAGTCGCTGCGCTCCGCGACGATTAGACGCAGGCGTCCTGCTCTGCCGCCCCGGCTCACGCGGAGAAGTGGAGAAGAGATTTAGCAAACTCCAGCGGACACCATCTTTTATGGGACTTTTTTTTATTTTCCCAGTCACAAGAACACGTGTCATTAGCGACTCCTCCTGAAACGAGCAGCTGTTCTTTGGCCATTACTGCTCCAAAATTAACGAAGACGGAAGAATTCAATTGCATCCCTCCTCCCAGCCCTGCTGAGTGTGCACGATTAAGGGATTGAGAGCATCTTTCGCTCAGAGTTCACGGGCATCCTAGTGCCTGAGAAGGCACGCACGCCTCGGGTGAACTGAGCACGAACGCATAAAACCCCACCGCTGCCAGGGACGGAGCAACCCAGGAGTGAATGTTATCGGCGGCAGCACCGGTGTCTCGGAGACACTCAAAGCTGCTCGGCAGGAGCACAGCCAACAACCAGGAGAGAGGATAATCTCCAGAAGAGACAGCCCCTTTCTCGCTTCCGTTCTCAATCTCTGCGAGGATATTTCAAGGCCCCCCGAAGAACAACAACAAAAAAAAAAGGCACGAGCAGAACCAAACAAAAATAAAATAAAGAAACAGGACACAGCCACAGATGAGGGGCAGCGCAGGGTCACGCAACACCTGCTAGCGATGGCCTTGCAAGGCAAGCCTGCAGCTGGGGAAGGGAGGGATCGGCCGTAATTCTATCAACGGCCACAGTAAACAAATAATAAATAACGTGAACCAGTAAACAAAGCTGAGGCATAATCACAGGCTTTGTCAGAGCTAAAACCGAATCCAAATTTATATCCTCACAACTAAAAAAAGTCAGTGCCCATAAATTTACATACCTTTGAGTGCAATGAATGGCTTGTTATTGGAACAGCGGACAATGCGCTGGCAGAAATGGTGAAAGCAGCCCTGTTTGGCCACTCACACCCCTCGTACAGGTGGCCAGCGCGGAGCCTCCGCTGGGCTGCGCTCACAGAGCTGCATTTATTACCCCGAACGGGGAGACCCGTGCTCTCTCCTTACAGGGGACCCCGGCCCCACGCACCCTACCTTTCCTTTCCCTTCCCAAAAGAACAACTCCCACAGGGTACCACCGGAGGTCACACCAGGCTTTTCCAGAAGGCAAAACTGCAGCCTCTCTTGGGAAAAGTCCCCAGGACGCTGTGAAGATGCACGGGGCTGCCTGGAAAAGACCCTGCTTCCACCACACTTTTTAAAACACACTTTTTTTTTTTTTCTTTTAAAAGAGGTGGAGCTGGGAGCAGGGCTGGGAAGCACAATTCAAGCAGACACATACCTGGGATTTTCACTGAATCCTGGTCAATTCTGTTCTCCTCTCCATCCAGGTGCTCCAAGCCCACCACTTCCGTCTTCACAGGGGCGTCCTCCGTTGCAGACAAGGTGGTATACGTACTAATAACCAGTATTCCCAGGCCAATCCACAGTATAATCTGCACAACGTGCCAGAGCTTCAGTTAGCACAGCAAAACAAACGGGACTGCTCTGTACAGCACTCTTCATGCAAACAGTGTCTCCAAACAATTCAAAGCTCAGTGCAATTACACGTGTCAATAAGAGGGAGAGAAGAGGAGAGAAATTTAAGAGGCGAAAAAGAAAAAACAGTAGCTTTTGGCTGAGGTTTGTATTTGGATGTAGAGACATATGAATGAGAGTTCCAGATGCTGGAAGCTGTTGAAAAGGCAACTCCTGTATCAGGAGGGCTCAAAAGCAAGCGGACAGGATGTAAGGATAGAAAAATGCATGTGGCAGACAAGAGTCCAGCTGCAAAGACTCATTCCCTGGTATTTCCAGCAGCTACATTAGAACACCATGAAATCAGGCCTGGCTGAGAACAGAGGTGCCCGACCTGTTTACAGCCCAGAAAGGTTCTAGGGAGCTGTTTAAAAATTCTTATTTTTGAAAGCACGAATAAGATGTCCACACGCGAGTCCTGGTGGCCAGTGCTCAAGAAGCTGGTAAGAAGTAACTCACCGATTTCCAGAAAGCTGGGACCAAACAGAATAAAAATAGAAAGACAGAATCTGGATCCTGCGGAGGGAAGGGCTCTATGAATTTCCCTAGCTCAAAAAGGAGAAAGTGACCACCACCAAAAAGAACATTTCTGCTGCTTATTATCTAATGATAAATTGATCTAAAAGGATCTAATTCCACATGAGCCGTAAGAAAGAATAAAAAAAACTCTCTGCACAAAAAGAAAAATCTCCGGGAGCACTAGCAATTCACAGGGTAACTCGAGAAGGACAAGCAAGATGACGCGCAACAGCAGCAGGGGCCGAGGAACGTCTGCCGTGCTCGGTGCCAGGGCTGCCAAACGCCTGCCTGCTCCTCCAGACGAGAGCGGTACCAGTTCAAAGAGCCGAGCGGACGGATTGCTGGCCGACAACACTGACTGGGGAGATTTAATTAAACTCTAATATATTATTTTTACCTAGTTAGTCATTGCAATTGTCACAGCAAGGGCTTCTCATGGAACCTGGTTTGCATGTCAACGCGTCAACGGCACTGCGAACGACTGGTAGGAGAAAGTCGCCAAGAGTTTGTGCTGAGGGAAGCAGGCAAAGCAGCGGCACCCTCCGCTAGAAACACTGGTCTCCCCACAAGCTCCTTTTCACAACAGACCATGGAAGCAACAGGAACCCTCATAGGCAAAACAGAAAAAGCCTCTGCAATGCTGGGAAGCTGAAAGTTTGCAGCAAATTGGTATTTATGATGCAGCAATTCCCCCCTTTTTTTTTTTTTAATTAAATACATTCTGCTCTCTGAAACACCAGGGATCTGCCTTATTTCTGCAGCTCTGCATACGGCAGCAAAGGATCCGAGGCAATGCCGCAAACTGCATCTTTTCTTTGCGCTTCGCGGCCTCCCTGCGCGACGCTCGGAGCTTGCGGGCAGCACGCCGCTGGTTCCCCTCGGCTTTTCGCCAGTTCCCATCCCCACCCCTGCTGCACGCGCGCTGACTGCAGGCTGCTGGGGAGAGGACACCGCTTTTTCCACCACACGTCTAACAAGAACAACTTGCTATGCACGCTTCACGAGGCAATCGTAAAAAAGTCTCAATCCGCAAAGGAAAAACGCTGCTTTGGTACACGATCTTGTTGCCGTGTAGTAGGAACCACACAAGCTGCCTGGCCCCTTTGCAGAGAGGTGCAACACCCAGATCACCCGGTGATTCTGGCTTGGGCTGCGATACCAGCTCACCAGAGAGCCACATCCTGCGGGACTCATCCTCTTCCCCCAGAATCCTTACCGTGCAGCATTTACATCCCAGTTCACAAAAAGCACGACAAAAGGATGCTACTCAGTGTGAGAAAAACCAGGAACGGCTACAGGGGACCACCGCTACGACCGGGAGCTGCCGGAGGGAGAAAACTGAAAATAAAGGGGAGAAGGGAAATTGAAAGAAGTTGAAACGTTGGCACCTCCAGGGGAGGGAGGAGAGGCTAACGTTTTCCTCTCCTTCCTCATGCTGAGGGAGATCACCCAGAAATGCAGGCCAGGGCGGTCAGAGCCTCGGGCCCAGGAGACCCCGTTCTCAGCACACCCCTGCAGACAGACAGACGCCTTCTGAAGGAAAAGGTTGGCGGGACGTGAAGCAGCTCTGGACAAGGGACGAGCAGCGTGGCCAGGGAGCAGAGGCCAGACCTTAGAGACGTTGCAAAGGAAACAGAAGTAAAATCTGCTCCCTGCCTTGCTGTGTGGGTGCACAAAGAGCAGATATCCTGCCATCCTGCTCGGGCCAAAAGCAGAGTCAGCAGGTCCCTGCCACTGCTGCCCTCGGCTCGGAGCTCGTCCACTTCCTCCCCTCACACAATCTACAGCCCCGGCAGAAACGCACTTTGCGACTGGAAGGCTGTTCTGGCGGCTTCCAGAAACAACAGCAGAGAGGAAGAGCGTTTCCACAAAGAGGATCTATTCTGGTGCCACAGGAACTAGGAGCAACGTGGGAGAGAAGGGAACTGTAGGAAACGGCTGAAAACATTAAATGTTTTAAAAGGATTTTTGTTGTTTCTTATCTTAGTGGGGAACCACAGGCTTGAATGCCTTAGATTCAAACCCCTTTGATTGTTTAACATTTGGAGTTCATCTGTGAGCTTCCCAGAGCAGCGGGTACAGGCACATGTGGCAGTCAAAGACAGGCTGGGCTGTCCATGAACCGGCAGCCGTCCCTCACCTTCAGCTACCCCCTTGTCAGCGCACCTCCTCCTCACCTACCCCGTCAGCAACCGAAGACCAGAATAAAGAGGTCCACAATTTGGCTTAATTCCACGGAGATACTTATGACACGGAAAACCACGCAGTTTGTACTCAAGGGACCACCAAGGCTAATCTGGTGATCGAAGGAAGAGGAAACGTGGGGTGCAAGGACCCGGTGGCTTTAGGAAACAAACACAGGCAGGGGAACAACCTACCCCCAAAGCGTTCAGCTGAAGAGCTGAGAACCTGGAGCAAGGGGAGGGGCAACACTGCAGAGCAGTTATAAGCCAGTGTCTGGTCCCACAGGAAGATCTCCCTGCCTCTGAAAAAACAAACCTGCTGAGAGCAGAGACCCTTCTCCAGAAGCACTTCTCAACGTGGACATGGCAAGAGGACGTGCAAACCCTTCTGGCTGCAACCTCCTCCAACAGGCAGGTCAGCAAGGCAAGGGCCTGTCTCCCGAGAGGAACGCTCTGAGTGCGGACGGGAACTCAGGATAGGAAGTTTACGCGGCCGTTTCCTCTGCTGGTCGCTTTCCCTCGGCCGTCCTCCCTCCCAGAAGATAACTTGAACTTTGTACAGCAGTGTCATTAGCTCAGACCATCTCCTCTAACCACGCCTGAGCCATCAGCGGGAAGCAAAAAAACTGCATTTGTGCGGAGTGACGACATCCTCCAAACTGTGCTGTTTTGGACACCGAGCGTTTGGAGGGACAGAGTCACGGCAAAGGAATGCAGAGCCCCGGTCACTGCCGGGTTCCTCCGCTGCGCTGCGACAGAGATGCTGTGCTTGAAGGGCCGTACCAACCGAAAACGCCTGCGGTGAAGGTGCGCTGGCTGCTGCGCTACCAGGGGAGGGCAGAGGGGAATCTCTTTTCCATCCGCACAGGAGCGAGACTGAGGGGTTATTTCCTGACCTCGAGCAGCCTCTCCGCAGCTCCTCTTCCCCAACTGGGACAACAGCAACCCTGGCCTCCCTAGGAGGGGCCTCTCGGACAGGCTTGTGTCAACACTGGGAAGCCAACACCTTCCTGTTAGAAGTTAAACACTCTGTTTACAGACCTTAACGTGACCTTCAGCAGCACTCTGCCAAACCTCACCCTGTCCCCCCCGTTCAAGGCTCCCGGCGGGCAGCGGGACACGGACCGGCACCTTCACAGAAACACGCTTGATGCTTAACCACAAGAAAGGGAACGCTCTCCCCAGTTCATTCACAGCTCTGCACGCCTGACTTCAAGCATTTTAACCGCTCTGTTACCTGATCGTCTTTCCAACACAGCAAGCCTTTCAACCAAGCCACCCCCCAGCCTAGCCCAAGCTGCCCTCCCCAGCCCCGGCCGGCTGACCAGCGGCTGCGATAATTAACAGCTCGCTGGCAGAAGCTGCCCAGGCTTTTTGCTGGCCAGCAAACATCTGGGACCGCCCACATTGCTCCCCCTGGAACCCTCTTCACCACTTTTAAGGCAACTCCCCTGTTTCGTAGCCTCAGCTTGCACCATCTTCCCAGCTCGGTACATCTAAACGTCCTATCTCGCCAGCCCCGTGGGCTGCCCCACACGGGACTTTGCTCGATGCCAGAGGCGGCCCAATAAAAGCAGCCAGTTCTCAGCAGCAGCACCACAAGCGTCAAGATAATTCAGGCAAGCGTAAGAGCTGGCATTGAGAAGGTCTGCTGCTATGGAAGAAAGCTAAAGATGATGGAGGGAGGGAGAAGATACGCATACGTTGTTTAGACAGGGAAAAGCGGGGAGGGACAGCTATGCCCAGGGCTGGCTCCTTCTCCCCCCTGACTGCCACTTTTCAGAGGAGCATATTTTGATGGAGTGGAGCACCTGATCAAAGAAAGCAGGAATGAAAGAGGAGACCAAAGACGGAGCTTCAGGGAACGAATAAATGAGTCTTTGCAGAAGACCTGGAGGAACAAGGAGAGGGTGGGCCCAGAATTCGGCTCCAGAGTGGAGGCAGGGAGGTGCTCTGCAGCCTAGCACGTTTCTGAAGGCAGGTGTGCCCTTGCTGCAGCACTTCAGAGCATCGGTCAAAGCAAGTATGCAAACTTGACAGGCGATGGATCATTCAAGAGAAGGCTGGACAGCTTGCTACCAGCCCCTTGAAATGCCAGGGTAACCTGGGGGCTGATGCTTTAGATAAGCCCTTATTCCTTTGTGGGGATTTCTGCAGGACAAACATCTTCACCAGCCTTGTGACCAGCGTTTCAGGTCGAGCATTGTGAGGGCCCCAGTGTTCAACCCCCGGCAGCTGACAGTCGCCTCTGGGCAGCCAGTCTAAGAGCTCAGCACATCCTAAGTGCAGTTTCAAGGCACTGCACAGAAACGTTCTGGCTCAGCCAGAATAGAAAGCGATTCTTGAAAGTGCTCTTTGTTTCCCTGAAAAATCCAGGCTGGCATTCAGACTCCTGCTTGGGGTTTCAGTCAAAGAAGTTAGGACCAAAGTGTCAGAATTCAGAGTGAAAGCTGGAAAGTTGGACTATTTCCTTGTGTCAGAGAAAGCATGGGGAAAGAAAAAAAAATACCCCCTGCTTAAAAACTTCATGTACGTTTGCAAACCCACAAGTCATTAAACACAGAAAAAGCCATTAGTTCTGTAGGACCCACAAAAATGTCGTGCTCTCCCCCTGCTGACTCTGCAGTTTGCTGAAAACCTTATTCCCAGCCCAGCACTGTCGTGACTGGCAATGCTGGGGCAGCGGCCTGCTAAAAGGCAGTGGATTAAGTTATTGTTAGAAAAAAACAAAACATGTTAATTTCAGCCCCACAAAAGCACGGTATGTGCAGAATCAGAGAGATCAAGCCCAGCAAAGAGCCACTTTGTTTCAGTCCCCGAGGAGGCCAACTCAAACTGGAGCAAAAGGAAAAGCTAAACTTCTAACAGCCTCTGAACGACCCCAATTTTTTAAAAATCAATTCCTGAAGCAACACCTCTATGTGTGTGTTCCTTTTTATTATTATTTTGGTTGAAACCAGAAAGCTGAGGGTCAGCAGCAAGAACCACATCGCTGAGAAACCGTGTTTATTTTACCCAGCCCAGGCAGGTTGGGATGTAAGGCCCGTTAAGGTTTTATAGGCTGCCTGGATTTCCCATTCTGCGGATACAGAACCTGAAGCCCACCAGAAGGCGGACTGGAAGCAGCATTTTACGCACCAAATGAATGCTTCGCTTGCTGCCGGAGGGACAAAAAGAGCCGGTGTTCCAGCACAGGGCAGGCCATGCACTGGGCCAGCACCTCCTCCGCTGCTGCCTGCATGCCCATAAGCGATGCTGCTCAAAGCAGCCGACCAGAACAGCTCCCACCTGTACTGGGCAGACTGGAGGGGGAGGCTGAAGGAGGTGCCGAGCGGTTTCTCTGCTGCAGCCAAATTAACTACGTTCCCAGGCTCTGCAGAGGGCTTAGGGGGATGTCAAGCAGCATCAGCACTGACCTGTGAACAAAGTGCATTCTTGTGGATCTTCTTGTAAATAAGAGCTGGGCAGATAAAACAAATGAGGCTTCCCATCGTAGCACCTGTCAGGCCCAGGACTGTTTCCACTGGCAAAGAAGAAGAAGAGGAGACGTCAGCAAAGGCCCCTCTCTAGGACAGCCAGAGCAGCAGCACATGGCGGCTGTCTGAGCCCGCGGGCAGGCTGGGGCGCGAGCCCAGCGAGCCTGGCCATCCCACCCAGAAAAGCAGATAAAAGAGACCAGATAAAATAGCCAAGCAACCAGCCCATGCCCCCAACTCCTCGCTCACCGTTCGGGATCATGATGCCTCCTACCATGGTTCCAAACACAACAGCCAGTGTCAGGGCTTTGAACCGAAGCGGGGGCATGTAACCCCCAGCAGCGAAGGTGCCGTCTTTTTGCTGGAAGAGAAAGGGCGGGAGGGGGAGAATGAGTTTAGCTCCTGCATCACAACCCCACAGTTCCTAAGCAATTACCCCCGCAGGCTCCAGCAGCTTCGTCACCTCCATGCTATGGTCTCCACAGAGGTGAATGCTAGGGGGGGCAGTTAGACGTGGTTGAGCAATTTTAATATGCAACTGCATTTGAACCTTCAAAACGAGAGTGACGGGGGGCACGGAGCCAAAGCTGCTGTTTCCATCCTGCCCCAAATGTGAACCGTACAGCTGTATCCCAGTCCCTGTGCCAGTGCTGCAGCCGCCCAGCCTCAGTGAGCGGCCCCAAGGCCAAGGGCATGAGAAAGAAGCGCAGCTGAGAAGGCAGGAGAGAGAACGGTCACAGGGGGAAGAACTCTGGTTTTGCTACGGCAAGGCATCCCCTTACACCTCCGGGAGCAGGGCTATTCCCACCGCGTTACAACACGTGTACCGCCAGCTCCTCCGACTTGACGGAAGACACCCCGGCTAGATGGCAGAGAGGAGGACCGGTGCTGCTGGGGAGCTGCTGATACTGGAGGGTTTCCAGACGCCCTCCGCTTCCCATCCCACCCCCACACCCCGAGCAGGAGGTGTGGAAAGCAGAGGACGCAGTGAACCCACGTGCCCTGGAGAACCAGCAGGTCGCCGCTCTCCTGGCCGCGCAGATGGGAGAGGAAAGCAAAGTGACAGGTTCAGAGCCCAAAGAGCAACGAGCTGAGCCCAGGCGAGAACCAAAGTCTTCCCAAGCGTTTCCAGCGTTTACTCCTTTGCACCCGCTGGCTTTCACCGATCATCTTCCCCCATCCTCAGGCCCTCCCGACGTGAGAAAAGAGCTGGGGGCTTCTCACAGGCAGAAGTGGCAGGATTTAGAGCTATAAATTGCTCAAGTTTTATTTCCTGCCCTAAGAGGTTTCTATTTATGCAGATACACAAAGGCCTCAGAACATTCCCACAATCTCTTACTGTTATTTACTGAATACCATCGGCATGCTTAGTGCCGTACAATACACAGAGGAGAACACGCTACTGCCACAAGGGACTTACAGTCTAAATCAGACAGACCAACTATAGTCACAAAGGCTGTCTGAAGATCTGACCCTGGGAAAGGTGAACGTGTGGGAGAGGGCTGTCTTCCACCGCATGCTTCTGCACCAGACCAGCACCAAACAGCCAGGGGAAGCACTGGAGGAAGGGGACATCTGAAGCCGGAGGGGAGAAGGCTGCTCAGGGGGCTACTGACAAAGGTGCAAGGACGAGAACAATAATAAAAGAGCAGAAATGAGCAGGCATAGACAGAAGCAAGAAGAAATGAGGCTGGGCTGGGCTCTGAGGCCATGAACAGAAGCTTGAGCTAAATGCAAAGCAAGATCGAGTTGGCCAGCAAAAGGATGCCAGCTGGAGCAGCAGGAAATAAGGAGGCTCCTCTGTTTCCAAAAGCACATTTCTCCCTCCTTCTGAGGGGGAGAACCACCTCGGCTCTGAACTGTGTAACACTTCTGTGCGAGAGCCGAAATCCCCAGCGGAGCAGGGAAGTAGCAGCCACGGGATCTGGGGCGCAGCAGAGCAATAGCAGCCTTCAGACTCGCAACTCCAGCACTTCTGCCCACGAAAATTGCTCTGCAGAGAGGACAAGAACCTCAAAGTACCAGAGATTAACCATTCTGCAGAGCAGGATTTACAGACTGCCGCAGGCCTCCTGCTGCACCGTTACCACACACCAGGCACTTACGATTTCACTGTCAGTTGAGGGTTTGTCCCCCTGGGTAGCGTGTACCTACCACAGGTCAGAAACAGGCAGTTGTCAACAGAGTCTCACAGAACCAAGGCGCGTTTGTAGCCCAGGTCGGCAGCCAGCAGCAGAAGCCAAAGAGTCACAGTAGCCCTTCAAAAAGCAAGTTTCAAAGGTGCACACCAAGGCAGCCAGTTGCTCCTGGCCACACAAGAGGATCTTACCTGCTGCTCAAAGAGAAGGGTGTTCAGCGCCTGTCTGCACGGGAGAATCATCATCGGAAACCCCACAGCTACCGACATCATGAATCCGACTCGAATCATCTCCGTCACAAGGTTGGAAGGGAAGTTCATTAGGACGTTCCCAGCAATGGCTTCAGTGTAACTCACGTAGCCAAAGAAGCCCACCTGTCCGGCAGGAGGGGAGGTGAGCGGATGGGGTTTGACTCCAAAGCACATATCTGCTCTTTACAAAAGGGTGGAGGTCAGCGACCTCCCACGAGCTAGGACCAGCCAGCCAAGGAGGGAGCGTGGGGCCACCTCCACGGGCAACCTGCCAGCAGCCCCAGCTGCAGCAGCCCCAAAAATTGAGACAGGTGATTAACGAACAGTGGGACCTTCCTAAAAGCAGAGGCAAGTTTCTCACTGAATACAGGGGGCTTTCACGGAGGACGTTGCAGCGAGGGAACACTGCCACTGCCCGTGACACAGAGCAGTGACACCCTGCTTGCTGCCAGGCCCACGGACCGGCCCCCTCCGACAAAGGAGGGGCCGTAACGATTCCCTGCGGCAGCCTAGCTCACAGGGGCAGGCTCTTCTCAGGAATTATTAACTCAGTTTTATTAACCGGTGCTTTATGAGGCATAACTTCCTTCACATCTTTCCAATTGCAACAGGCTGAAAGAAGCTCTCCTAAACCCTGGGGGGCATCTCCAGCTCCAGGCTGGGCCCTGGAAGGCAGACAGCAGGCTGATGCACATGGAAGAGCTGGGTCTCTGCTCTGCCTCCGCCCAAGGAAATGTGCCACTCTGAAAATTTGGACTCTCCAAATGCCTCCTGCACTGTTCGGTTCATCATCTCCCATCTAATTTTGCTTTCGGCAAAATGACTTATCTTTCAGAATAAATACAGACAAGCAGAAACCAGCCCCAACTGAAGATAAATCATCATCCCTGTTGCCCCCTCCAGAGCGTGACTTCTGGCAAGGAAAGAGAAGGGGAAGTTTCTTACCGTAATGTAAAAGGTGGTGACCACGTTTAGGGAAGAAGCAAATATGGAGCTCATGATTTTAACAGACGGCTCATCCAAGCTATCATAGGTAGGCAAGACCTGACTGTAGAAAAGGGTAAATTGTTTAAGGAAACCTTCTGCGGAGAGAGAGAAAAACCCAACTCCAGCATGTTCCCTGCCTCAGCCCAGCAGCGAAGAATCCCTGACACCTTCCCCCTACGGAGCATAAACACTCGCTGCTATTCCACAATTTATATTGCTAATGCCAAGAGATTTCAGAACACTCATAACTTTAAGTGTTGCAAAAATATTCCTGCTCTCCCCACCCCACCACGTGGAGCTAAACCTGTGATGTAAACATTTTGGTTCAAAAGTGTTGCAAAATGAATGACCGTTTGTTCCAGTGAAACACCAGTGGCACCAGGCCAGGCAGCGCATTGGAGATTATTGTTCTTGGAGCTCTCTATGCTGATAATTAAAGCAACGCAGTGTTTACAGAGTAAAAGCAGGAAGAAGGTTAGAGCATCACACTGTCTAAAAGAAAAGTTAAACAAACAAAACTAAATGCAGCGCCTGTCATATTTCAGCGCTGCTGCTAGAGCTCAGTTCATAGAAAGCTGGGAGCGCCAATTACACGGGATTTGGGGTATTTACAGACCTGGAAAGCATGTGGAATGTACTTTTTGACATCAGGTGCATATTTTAGCAACTCATTAACCTCTTGTTACTTTAATTCAAGTGGCTACATCCTGGCTTCATGTTACTGAAGGAACTCTCACGAGAAGGGGGGGGGAGCATCCAGTTAGGTGGGAAGGGGGTATCCCCAGCTCCAGTGGGCACAAAGCCATTAACAGAAAGCGTGTCAAGCTGAGGCCAAGCAGAAAAACCCTTAACCCTTAATCCCTTAACGTCAAACGGTTCCGCACAAAGGAAGCTGAGCACATCGGCTCGCAGGAACCCGCGAGACGCGCTGGGTCTGTGAATGCAGCACTATGACAGCCATTTACCAGCAGGGAGCGAGGAGACCGGCTTCCCCAGGCGTCTCTCCATTTTGGATTCCTCCCTGCCCTCAACGCAGCGACCGGGACTCCGTCCCGGACTTCAGCCCCCCAAGGGGAAGGGCCAGCCAAACATCCAGGCCCAGGAAGAAGAAAGGAGGGAAGCAGAGAGGCTCTGCAGCACATGGGATGGCACAGCCAGGCCAGGTTCGTGTTAACGCAGGAGCAACAGCAGTGACACGGGGAAAAGTGCCATGCAAAGTCCAGCTGCACCCAGGCCTCCTGCGATCGCCTAACGGCGCCCGTTTGGTCAGCTTGGGTTTGGAGGACCAGCACAGTGTCCCTCAAGCCCCCACGACACGCTGCTGGGCCCTCCTGACCATCACCACCTCCCAAGGCAGAGCAAGAGGACAAGAAGCATGCAACAGGCAGCATGTCCTGACACGCCCGGGGTTTATTTTTAAGCAAAATGACTGCACTGAAGGCCAGCGAAGGATCAGGGATCCTTCTCCGCGTTATCTGTTACACTGCACCTCAAAGAGGGCACGAGCAGGTGGTTCCTCCTGAGCAGAGAGCAGGCAAGTCAGCACAAGCATTAAGAGCAGCCTCGGAGAAAGCAGACTTGCTTCAGAGGTGGTCAGAGCTACCTCAGAGTATCTGTTCTTCACCTTCGCTGCAGGGACCACCTTGTACAGGCCCTCCGAGCACAGTACTAACTCAGCCTGCAGGGAACTGATGCTCACAGAGGCAACGCCCAACATCCCGACTTTTAGTAGGATGTTTTAGGAAACAAATTTTTTTAAAAGATTGCAATGCTAAACCAATTGTTAGGTGGCATCGGTAAAATAGTGCATCAAGATTTAATCTTACAAAAATCCTTTACGTAAATGTGAATTCAGCATTTTTGCATCCATCTGCACCAGAATAGCCATCTCCAGAAATTAGAAGTTTTCTCCTGGAAAGCTCTACTGACTCCTCTTTAATTAGAGGGTTCAGTGACTTGACCAAGGCCACACAAGGAGGCTGCAGCAGAGGTAACCCTGGAGTCCTCGCGCTCCCTGCTCTCAGCTCCACAGCAAATTTCCACGCTACGCAACTGTAGAGGAGTGACCTACTTTGCAACTTCAGCAACAACAGGATAGCTTTTAAAGAGCGAGGGGTATTGAACTCGCAAGTAAAGCAGGGTCAAGTTTTTCAAGCTAGAATAATAGTGCATTTATTTGTCCTTACTGTATGCTGCATTTACGTGCCGAAGGAAAAGGATTTCTGCTTTATATTAGAATTATTTGTTTTTTAAAAAAGTGATTCAGAGGTTAGCAAAATTAAACCTGCCTAGCTGAGAACAACATGCTTATAAAGATTGCCTGGGCTGGGGACAGCGTATTGCCCTGGTGCTTGGAAAAAACACATAGCTTTAGGTTCGGCTTGCCACATAAGTGCTGTAATGGAGCCTATATTTAGGTATGTGCACACTGGTCCAGACCAAACGATTTCCCTGCGTTTCCAACTCCCAGAAAAATTGTGCTGGGCACTGTGTGGCTACCATAAGAAAAAAAAAAAATTGGAATTTAAAAACTCCAAAATGTTAACAAGGTAAAGCTGTAAAAGACTACAACTCCCTTCGCCAGTTGTAATGGAGACATTAAACAGCAAGACTGGAGTGTGTTCGGGTAGGAACCGAGCTGCCAAGAGCGCCAATAAGTGGAAAATGATGATTTGGATCTTGCGTGTGGGTGTAAACACAGCAGTCTGAACAAATTTTATCTGTCGCATTCATTTACTGTTGGCATGCTACCCATTCGCTAGAACTACGGGGGGAAAGCCCGACTCTGCCAGCCTTCCAAATGAGGACGGTCTTTTCCGTGTCCACATTTGGATTTACACTTCTATTTAAAGTCTGTTACTATTCTGGCCAGGCACGTATTGCTCACTTGCCATTTTGGTGCAGAAGGTAATGCTGCTAGAAACGTGAAAGTAGCCTGGTCTGCCATCACGTCCTTCCACGTGCCAACGGAAACCCTCATTAAAAGCAGGTAACTGGAAACACGCGAAGAACTCTCCAAAGTCAACGACTGTGCGATCTTCTGAGTATTGTCAAAGAAATTTGGGGAAGCAGAGAGCAGCCGCGGGTGTACGCTACCCTGCAGGGGGCCCTGCGGCCATTAGGCGACACAGCCCCGCTGCCTTTCCTGGTACTAAATCATTCCCTTCAAGAAACGGGGGAAATTCATCACTTCTGCAGCTGTACCAGAAGCAACGTGCATTACACTGAGGATCTGTTTGGCCCAAATGATCCTGTGTTGCTCAAGTACAATAACTCCCAAGTGAAATATAACTCCCTCCCCCATCTAGGTAACAAAAGGGTCACAACTGAATGAGATGCTGTACTTCAGTGGGCTGTAAAATATTTTGATTAAAATAAAATAGGAAACCAGATGGTATCTATCCCTTGCAGATCCTTATGACCCTCTGCCCTCACAAAAAAAACCTCATTGCGCACCACAACTGCCAGAAGTGGGAATGGCAGGTACTTACGACTGACAGGCAAAAGACATGCCAAAGATGGGGATGCAGCGAAAAATGCCCTCCCAACGAGTGTAACTAACTCGCTGCAGCCACTGCCCGCTGAAGAGGCCATGCTTGAAGGACGACAGCACAATCTGTAGCCAAGAGAAAGAAAAGGGATTAAGATCCAACCCAAAACAACTTCATGGCAGCAGTAATGCCGGTGCTGGGATAAATGGCAGCGTGTGGCAGCGCTGCGAGGAACAGCTCACGCTGCCTACCACAGCCCGATCTCTGTTAGTCAAATTCCCCAGCTCCCCACCCCACCCACACACTTTATTAAAGCTCCCAGCAACCTCCGTAGGCCCCTTGCCACCAAGGATCCCAGGGTGTATTTTAAAAGATATATGACATTCCCCCCTTTTTTAAACACGTTTTTAAATCCAAACGGGAAGCGACATTTGCCTCGGAGAATCCTGTTCAATGGAGAGAGACAAAGGTTCCTAAAACAGGACCCCGCCTGCACGCTGCTACTCCAGAGCCATTTAACAACACCAGTTCACCAAAGACAAGGATAAACTTCATGAAAACAGGGGGAGCGAGGCACCCAGACGAGGCCAGGGGAGCTTTTTTGCCATTGACAGGGAAACTGGCAGGCATTGGGTTGCACAGGAAACAGAAGGTAAATATGTCTGAATGCCTGTTTATAATATCGCCTGAATGGGGGTTTTCTAATCCCCAGAGATTATGTTTTAGTGCAGCCAACTCTCATGAAATGTTGTGGTTTTCTTAAAGGCACAGCTCCTGGAACACGGCAGTTTTGTAAAACACTCATTTACAGTTTCCAGCCTCCTCACAGAGGCAAGCTCAGAAGCGTGACCCAGCACAACCTACTAAAAAAAGGTTAAGTGCAAAGAGTTTCCACACCTCCCTTTTCTTCCTTTTGTTTCAGTTCTTCCAGTCCTGAAATTTGGAAGAGACAGGGCTGGGGCTCCACAAGCCAGCCACATGAGCATCCGTGAGGTGAAACTTGAAGTCATCAAAAAGCAAGTGAAAGTCTCCACCTCTCAGTAAATGGTGCTATACACCGGGGCTTGGCCAAGCCAAATAGGGCCAGCTTTAGGTTACTCTCAGCTTACCCTACTTAATCTAAACGGTCAAGAATCCATTCACCTCAGTGAAGAACTGTTCTAGAAATATCTAAGAGCAAGCATACACCACATACCAGATTTAAGACTTTACGAAGCTTTCAACACTCAAGAAATAGAAGGGCTGGTGTTTAACAAATAAAACTACTTGCAGCCTGAAAGACATTAACCATCAGCTGCAAAAAAAGCATGCAAAGTACATGCTTGAGTTCTTAACAAGAACTGCCTTCCCCCTGCAGATTAGAAGCATTGAGGTTTTCAAGGCAAAACACTAACGCATGATGAAAGTCCTTCTGCTTCCAGGCGCTCTTCCCCACATCTTCCATCCTTTGATTTAAAGTTCAGAGCCCTAAATTATAAGACACCAACAAGCAGAATAAACCACAACTTGATTTGTGGTTTATTATTATTTGTGCCACCACAGTCCCTAGCATTTGTAATAGCTTACAGACCCACTGGCCAGTTTCTACAGTCTGTACCTCCCCACCTCCACCAGCTCCAGAGCACGGGCACCCAGATCACTCATCACGCCCGGCACTAGCGGCGCGCGTTATCAGGAAGGACATTTTAAACTCGAGGCCCGCACCTGCAGGCTGTCCCAGCGGGAACATCTGTGTTAAAACACTCGGAAAACAGCCTTCCCGGCGTCGATACTCACCACGAACATGAACACCGTGTAAAAGATCAGAGCCATGGCACTGAACGACTGTATGGAGGCCATCATGTTCCTCTGGAGGCTCAATGGAAGTACAATGCAGAGGGAGACGGCAAAGAGCAGGACTATCCGGAAACTGCCCGACACCTGGAAAAGGGACCCGCATAAAGAACTGGAGCACGGAGGATACTCAAAACATCCCACCAAATCAGCAAACCCCCACGTGGTTAATTTTTTCCAGAGTGAGAAACAATGCAAAGCCAGGATCGATTTCAAATGTGAAATTCTGCTTCTGTACGTATTTAAAGATTTGATGCTGAAAGCTTGCCATTTCTTTGGCTAGGTCTGTGATTAGCTTCTACAGTCACTGGGTGCCACTGTTGCTCTACACAGTGCGTGACAGGTCCATCCTGAAGTGGAAGTATTT